AGACCACGATTAAGCTATTTCCTTGTCTGTACTCTAATAAAGCATCGCAATTCTGCGATTGGATCTTACCACTCTGTCCGAGTATTCATTACAGAATACCTCGCCTCAACCATGGATCCAGCGGAATTACAGAGGCGATGGGAGATACAGGAGAAACGGATGGATGAACTCCTGCAACTACTCAACGCTGGTGCGGCTGAAGGCACCACCCCGAGCACGGTCAGTCCTCGTCATGCACCTCCGATTTCTCTACCGACTAAGTACGATGGGGAACCTGGCAAATGTCAGGGGTTTCTACTCCAGACGTCCCTGTATATGTCCTATAATCGTACTATGTTCTCCGATGACCGTAGCAGGGTGGATTTCATGATTTCTCTGCTAACGGGAAGAGCACTGGATTGGGCTACTGCGCTTTGGGCAGCTGAGGTCCCCGAGTTGAATGTGGAAGTTCAGTTTAAGAGACTGTTCCGAGAGGTGTTCGACCACCCAGTATCTGGGCGTAGCGTGGGAGACCAACTATGCGAACTTCAGCAGGGCCGTCGCACAGTCGCCGATTACGCATTAGAGTTTCGGACTATAGCAGCTGGTAGCGGCTGGAGCGAGACTGCTTTGCTCACCGTTTTCCGAAGAGGGCTGCGCCAAGAAGTACAGACTGAGTTGGCCTGTCGGGGAGATATCACTGCGCTACATGAATTTATCAACATAGCCATCGCTATTGATAATTTGATAGTGCAACACAAGGTATCCGCAGTCCAGGAGCCCTCGGTCACAGGTCCTAAGCAATCGACAGAGCGGAGGAGAGAATCTGAGGAGGAACCCATGCAACTGGGACGGTCGCCCTTACGAAGTTCGGTGAGACAACAACGTCGGCAGGACGGACTATGCCTGTATTGTGGTCAGTCGGGTCATTTCATTCGGCAATGTCCGGTACGACCCAACCGTACCCCAGAATATCGCCTCGGAACTGCCAAACCGGTGAGTGAGACTCCAGTTTTCAACATTACATCTAAACAAATGTATGTGCCAGTTACCTTATCTGTCGGAGAGAAAGTGCGCAGGTTGGAAGGTCTTATTGATTCCGGAGCGGCTGCCAGTTTTATGGATATGGGTCTCGCTGAGGAATTGGGAGTTCAACTTATCCCAATTCAACCTCCCCTGCGAGTCAACGCGCTAGACGGTGAGCCCATGGGCACTGGGTTCATTACGCACCGTACAGAGGTAGTAAAGTTACAAGTGGGCTCCATACACCATGAGAACATCATTCTGTTCGTCATCTCTGCTCCACGGGAGCCGCTAGTTCTCGGCCACCCCTGGCTCGTCACCCATGATCCGGTCATCTCCTGGAAATCTGCCGATATCACTGCTTGGAGTGAGGTATGTAGGGCAGAGTGCCTCAATTTACCGTGCAAAACGTCTACTGTGGAGGATGCGCAGGGTGCGGTGTCTACTGTTGTTCCAACAGAATACCAGGATTACGCACAGGTGTTCTCCAAGGAGAGGGCTACCGTGTTACCACCTCATCGGGCCTGGGACTGCGCGATTGATCTGCTATCCGGGGCTACACCTCCTCATGGAAGAATCTACCCTTTGTCACAGCCGGAACGAGAATCGATGAGCAAGTATATTGACGAGGCGCTACAGCAAGGGGCCATTCGCCCATCTACGTCTCCCGCCGCATCCAGTTTTTTCTTCGTTAAGAAAAAGGATGGCGGACCGCGCCCTTGTATAGACTATCGAGGTTTGAACGATATTACCATCAAAAATCGTTACCCCCTTCCTTTGATTCCAGAAGCCCTCGAGCAGGTGGGGCAGGCCTCGATCTACAGTAAACTGGACCTCAGGAGTGCGTACAATCTGGTGCTCATTAGAGAAGGGGATGAATGGAAGACAGCCTTCAGCACACATCGAGGACACTATGAATATTGTGTCATGCCCTATGGACTTACCAACGCGCCCTCAGTATTCCAGGCGTTCATGAATGACATTTTCAGGGACTTGATTGATCGCTTTGTTATAGTGTACATTGATGACATCCTAATCTATTCAAACTCTCTGAGTGAACATGTGTCCCATGTACGACAGGTTCTGGACCGACTCCTACAACATTCTCTGTTCGTGAAGGCAGAAAAGAGTGAATTCCATGTCACTACGATTTCCTTCCTTGGGGCCATACTCACTCCTGACGGGGTTAAACTGGATGAATCCAAGGTGCAAGCGGTACGAGACTGGCCTCAACCCCAGACGGTGAAAGAGCTCCAGAGATTCTTAGGGTTTGCCAATTACTATAGACGGTTCGTGCGTAATTTCAGCACAACCGCAGCTCCCCTGTCGGCGATGACCAGCTACAAGGGTCGCGGTCTGAACTGGACGGAGGAGGCAGTGCGTGCCTTTGAGACGTTGAAACAACGCTTTACCATCGCTCCTATTTTATGTCAGCCGGACCCTACCTTGCCGTTTATCGTGGAGGTGGACGCCTCGGAGGTTGGAGTTGGAGCCGTGTTATCCCAGCGCCAAGGTGAGCTGCCTAAATCACGACCCTGTGCTTTCTTTTCAAGGAAACTGAATTCGGCCGAGCAGAACTACGACGTGGGAAATCGTGAATTACTGGCGGTGAAGCTAGCACTGGAGGAGTGGAGACATTGGCTGGAGGGAGCAGAGCATCCGTTCCAAGTGCTCACGGACCACCGCAACCTGGAGTATCTTCACAGTGCTAAACGACTGAACTCCCGACAGGCTAGGTGGTCTTTATTCTTCAACCGTTTCCGATTCACTGTCTCTTATATCCCCGGGTCCAAGAATGGTAAGGCGGACACGCTTTCCCGACGGTTCGAGCGCGCGGAAAGACCCGTGGAACCAGAACCTATCCTCCCCATGAGTTGCCGTGCTGGTCCTGAGAGGTGGGCTATTGATGACACCATTCAGGAGAGCCTACAAACGGAACCAGCCCCTCCAGAAACCCCGGTGTCAAAGGTGTTTGTACCAGCTCCGCTTCGACCTCAACTGATGGAATGGTGCCACACGTCGCTGGGATCTGGTCATCCCGGAATTACTCGAACTACACGACTCATCAGCCGAAAATACTTGTGGGATTCCCTCACGGATGACGTCAGAGACTATGTCTTATCCTGCCCAGTATGTGCTCAGTCCAAGGTACCTCGTGCACTGCCGGAGGGTAAGCTGATGCCATTGCCAACTCCTCAACGACCCTGGTCGCACATTGCAATGGACTTTGTTACAGATCTACCAGAATCAGAGGGCCATACTGTAATTCTCGTGGTCATCGATCGATTCTCCAAGATGTGCCGGTTAGTACCCATGACCCGTTTGCCTAACGCCACTCAGATGGCTGAGACTATGTTTAACCAGGTGTTCCGGCAGTTTGGTGTTCCGGAGGATATTGTTTCCGACCGGGGACCCCAGTTTGTATCCCGGGTATGGAAGGCCTTCTGCGAACGCTTGGGCATCTCGGTGAGCCTAACCTCCGGATATCATCCCCAGGCCAATGGGCAGACAGAACGGCTCAACCAGGAAATTGGGAAATATCTACGGCAACAATGTTCGCGGCAGCCGCAAGAGTGGAGACGATTCCTTCCTTGGGTAGAGTATGCTCAGAACTCACTCATTCACACCTCCCTACGTCTAACGCCCTTCCAGTGTGTTCTAGGGTATCAACCACCCCTGTTCCCGTGGGATACCGCACCAGGGATGGTACCGGCTGTGGACGAGTGGTTCCGTCGGAGTGCGCAGGTCTGGGAGACGGCCCATCAACATCTCAGTCAGGCCTCACAACAGCAAAAGACCTACGCCGACCGACGCCGGAGACCTACTCCCACTTATCAACCCGGGCAACGAGTGTGGCTGTCTACCCGGGACCTGCGGTTCCGACGGAGCTGCAAGAAGCTTCAACCCAGGTACATCGGGCCTTTCAAGATACTGAGACGTATTAACCCTGTCACCTACCGTCTGTTACTTCCCCGACACTACAGGATAACCCCTGCGTTCCACGTCTCCCTGTTGAAACCTGTCCACTATAGCCCGATGTACCCCCCAATCGCTCAACAACCTACTACACCACCTTTGGAGGATGAACAGGACACCACCTATACAGTCCACGAGATACTGGAGTCAAGACGGAGACGAGGGGGCATCGAATATCTCGTGGACTGGGAGGGATATGGACCTGAGGAACGGTCCTGGATCCCTGCGAAGGACATACTGGATCCCGCTCTCAAGGCCACTTTCCACGCTGAACACCCAGATCATCCAGGACCCCGACCCAGAGGAAGACCACCCGGTAGAGGTAGAAGGCCGTCAGGAGCCGGCCCTGGGGAGGGGGATACTATAAGGGATCGGGGTTTGGCTGGATCTAGACAGAGTCTGACACTTCCCCGATCTACAGAGAGGGGGAGTCATCAGACTCGATCTGTTTCACCTGAGTTCTGAGCACACCTGTCAGTAATTAGAGTAGGATATAAGGTGTGCTCAGAAGTTCAGTCGGTGCGAGGTATTGTTCCTTTGTGACTTGCTAAGCGTTTTGTTCAGAGAGAGAGATAGTTTGTTTTTGATTACCAGTGTACCAGACCTGTGCTTCGTTGTTTGACTCCCCGAATTGCTTAATCCTCTGCTTGTCTATCCCAGTGATCCCACTGAACCTGTGCCCGTGCCCTCGACTACGACTACGCCCGCTCCCTTGGTACCTCTGCCTGTCTCTGCCTTGCCCGGTTTTGACCCCAGCTCGCCAGACCACGATTAAGCTATTTCCTTGTCTGTACTCTAATAAAGCATCGCAATTCTGCGATTGGATCTTACCACTCTGTCCGAGTATTCATTACACTGATATTACGTAATAAAAAATAATACAAACATCTAGATCAAGGATATCCGTCTGTAATCTGCCAACACATTTGAAAATACAGTACAACCCCAATCAAACTATTACAGAATACTTTATTAATTTTTTATAATTTACCCTTTTCTCAATATTATAATATTGTAATAACATGATGTTCTACTGGAAACCAGCCTCTATGTATGTGGGTGTGTGTAATAATGTGTACATCTCACGCCAATGTGACACCTCCAGGTGCAATCCCAGCTTTGAGAAGGTTCTGGAGGAGGTGACACACTACATCCCTCGCTATATGGAGGAGATGGAGTCTATCTTTGACCCTTCACAGGGGGAGGAGAGGATAAGTATCAGCATTGGAAGTCACCAACAATGAGAAGTAGACTACACCTGCAGTAACTGATACTAGGAGGTTGTGTGTGGATGTGGGTGGTCTATCTTTATCTCATTTCTCACTGATCATTTCTGTCATGCCCTGATCTCTCATTCCCCCTCTCTCTCCCTCCCATTTCTATCTTTCTCTCTCCCCCTTTTCTCTCTCTCCTTCTTTCTCCCAGTGTGAAGGCTGTGTATAATGACCTCCACAACACTCTCATGGCCATCAATGAGCAGGACAAACTCCACTGGTTGAAGAACATCCACAGAGCGGGCATGCCCACTGACTGGCCTCAGTTCCAGGTGCAACAAACACACAAGCGTGCACGCACACAAACACACACACACAGCGGGCTAATGGAAGTTAATGGGGCCGAATAGAGTGTACTGTAATATGGGATGATGAAGACTTCAGCCCCGTTGTTATTGTCAGAGTTTGTCTAATGTAGTGAACAGTGTTACAAGCTAATGTAGCAGATTGTATAACAGTAGTGAATGGTTCAACAATATGACCATTATTAGAGACTGCTGGATGGTAACATAATCGACCGGTTTGCCTTGTTGTTCAATGGAGTCTAATGAAACCTCTCTTTCAGGAGTGGGCACCAGAAAATAAAAGCAAAAAATGGAAGACAAACGTAGAGGCACAGTAAGGCACAACAGATGAGCATCTCTCCATCTGTCTTTATGACTCATGCTACAGTACAACTCTATCTCAGTGATGCTAAAGGCCTTTGCCTTTGTCAGATTCAGTTTTGTATGATTATCACACTGTGCGATGTTGCCAAATTGTGATATCATCCTGGCCAGATTGTACGATTTGCTTCAGTTCTGTTGTCACATTCTGCAATTGGCTTGCGAGGCTACGTCAGCCGACATAGGCTATGTCAACTACAGCAGTATATTTGATCTGCACTTGTACCAGCAGCACAAGCCGCTTGGATTTTTTTTAAAGTAGGCCTATGTAGCTTAGAAATAGTGTTAGGTTCTGACAAACAGAGTAAAAACTCAAACGGAGGACTAGGAAAAAGCTCAAACCAAGTTTATTCAACCACTGGGTCAAACAGCTGAAAAGACAAAGACATGTTTACACAAGCATATATATTTATACCCTCTTTCTAGGCGGAGTCTCCTCCTTGCACATCTGGACAGCCAATACACATCTGTTGCTAGGCAGGAACTCAAGTGGCGACTATTCCTTCTCAATTCATCTGACTTGAACTCGGCCCGCATTCCTCACTCCTCCCTAACTCACGGCTGTCCTACCTTATCAGTGATTGAAACCAGACTGTTGCCCTTCTCCTCTCCATAGGATACATAAGATTTAACAATAACATGTTCTGACTGAATGTAAACTTTCTGCACTCCCCTTTCTCACTCAGTATTTCCATACACCCAGTTCTAATATGGTAACTTGAATAAGGATGATCATGATCTGTCACATGATCTCAGTATATATACACCTGTTCTGAAAGGCCCCAGAGTCTGCAACACCACTAAGCAAGGGGCAGCACCAAGCAAGAGGCTCCATGAAGGCCAAGGAGCTCTCCAAACAGGTCAGGGACAAAGTTGTGGAGAAGTACAGATCAGGGTTGGGTTCTAAAAAAATATCAGAAGCTTTGAACATCCCACGGAGCACCATTAAATCCATTATAAAAAATGGAAAGAATATGGCACCACAACATACCTGCCAAGAGAGGGCAGCCCACCGAAACTCACAGACCAGGCAAGGAGGGTATTAATCAGAGAGGCAACAAAGAGACCAAAGATAACCCTGAAGGCGCTGCAAAGCTCCACAGCGAAGATTGGAGTATCTGTCCATAGGACTACCTTAAGCCGTACACTCCACAGAGCTGGGCTTTACGGAAGAGTGGCCAGAAAAAAGCCATTGCTTAAAGACACAAATAAGCAAACACTTTGGTGTTCGCCAAAAGTCATGTGGGAGACTCCCCAAACATATGGAAGAAGTTACTCTGGTCAGATGAGACTAAAATTGAGCTTTTTGGCCATGAAAGAAAATGCTGTGTCTGGCGCAAACCCAACACCTCTCATCACCCCGAGAACCCCATCACCACAGTGAAGCATGCTGGTGGCAGCATCATGTTGTAGGGATGTTTTTCATCGGCAGGGACTGGGAAACTGGTCAGAATTTAAGGAATGATGGATGGCGCTAAATACAGGGAAATTCTTGAGGGAAACCTGTTTCAGTCTTCCAGAGATTTGAGACTGGGACGGAGGTTCACCTTCCAGCCGGACAATGACCCTAAGCATACTGCTAAAGCAACACTCGAGTGGTTTAAGGGGAAACATTTAAATGTCTTGGAAGGGCCTAGTCAAAGCCCAGACCTCAATCCAATTGAGAATCTGGGGTATGACTTAAAGATTGCTGTACACCAGCGGAACCCATCCAACTTGAAGGAGCTGGAGCAGTTTTGCCTTGAAGAATGGGCAAAAAATCTCAGTGGCTAGATGTGCCAAGCTAATAGAGACATACCCCAAGAGACTTGCAGCTGTAATTGCTGCAAAAGGTGGCTCTAAAAAGTATTGACTTTGGGGGGGGGGGGGGGGGGGGGGGTGCAAAATATTTTGCATCTTCAAAGTAGTAGGCATGTTGTGTAAATCAAATGATACAAACCCCCAAAAAATCATATTTAATTCCAGGTTGTAAGGCAACAAAATAGGTAAAATGCCAAGGGGGGTGAATACTTTTGCAAGCCACTGTATGTAGGGCTGACCCCATTTAGTCGACTGTTTTGTTAATAGGCTGTTGGTCGACCAAGATTTTTTTAGTCGAGCGGTTCAAATCTATATTTCTGTATTGTTTGTATTTTTTGTGGCACACAAGACACCTTTCTGAGTGGCGTCTGTTTCAGTGGACAGTCCAAGAAAAAGGGGATTGTGGCTAAGATGCACAAGACACGTTTCTCTCCAGAATGCGCTCTCTCCCGCCAATTTGTGCGCATTCATCGTTTCATAACTTCATTGTGTGAATTGTTTTGTCCTTTGATTATTAGTGTCTATCAATTCCCTATTACATATACCACCAGTAGTACATTTACCTTTAATCTCCATAATTTATATTCTACAATGTTTGTTTGGTTACGGTAATTTCTGTTAATGCATGCAATATATTATTATTACATTCGTATACCATTCTCACTATCGGAGTGGACATATTGTTTGCAACGCTCACAACCTATGCTACACTCGTGAGGAACAAGTTTTGATTTATTTTATTCCATTTTCAAATGTTGTCAATTTATTCATTGTCTTTTGTTTGTAGCTATCCTGTCAATGTTGAGGAAGGACGTGCATCTGATTACACATAGAAGTTGGCCTAGGTTACCTGGCCTGCGCGCAAATGTGCCCATTTGGGGATGTCTGATAGTATTTCTGATTGTCTTAACTCACCACTAATGAGCGGTGTAGCTTCTTAAAGTAATGTTTTCTTCACCTCAAACATCAAGTAAACAAAGTCAGTTTTTACATCCACTGAGAAAGACAATATACAAATGTTTCCAGCTCTCACTTTCGATAACCACCGATCCTCGGCGTGAAAGGGAAAAATGTCATTCTCTGATCCAGTGGAAACGTCATGAAAATAATGATTACTTCTTATCCTTTGCACAAATACAGCTGTGTCTGGCCGGAGCAGAGTATGTGTGCTGAATGGAGTTGGAGCGGAGCGTGCCCAATTTGACTGGAGCACAGAGCCATTTTCCCAAAGGCTGGAGAGTCGACCTTCTCGTCTGCTCCAATTTTGCTCCAGTACCACTCCAGTAGCGCTCAATTCACTTCACCAGCTCAGGGCATGCACAGCCCAGCATGCATTTGTAGGTCACTTGTGTTCTGCTATAGCCCCTTGCTTTAGCTACTGTCATGGAGTTCGCTAAATATTTAAAGAATATAAATAAAGAAACTGATAAAACACACAGGTGCAAAATCAAGGTGACTTACAAAGATGAGGAGGATCAAGAGCAAGAGAGTGAGTGCGGTGATATAGTGTCCACAACTAAAGAATCATTGTGGAATCTGGAAAGACACGTGTCCCGAAAGCATGATGCTAACAGAAAGGAACGAGGTGGGTAGCTAGCTAAGTGTGTCATTGTAGCAATTCGGAAAGTATTCAGACCCCTTGACTTTTTCCACCATTTTAGAATAAGACTGTGACGTAACAAAATGTGGAAAAAGGGAAGGGGTCTGAATACTTTCCGAATGCGCTGTATCTACTTAAATTACCTCGTACCCCTGCACATCGACCCGGTACTGGTACCCTGTGTACACTACCAGTCAAAAGTTTTAGAACACCTATTCATTCAAGGGTTTTTCTTTATTTTTACTATTTTCTACATTGTAGAATAATAATGAAGACATCAAAACTATGAAATAAAACATATGGAATCATGTAGTAACCAAAAAAGTTTTAAATCAAAATATACTTTATATTTGAGAATCTTCAAATAGCCACCCTTCGCCTTGATGACAGCTTTGCACACCATTCTCTCAACCAGCTTCATGAGGTAGTCACCTGGAATGCATTTCAATTAACAGGTGTGCCTTGTTAAAAGTTAATTTGTGGAATTTCTTTCGTTCTTAATGCATTTGAGACAAACTGTTTCTTCAAGTGCAGTAGCAAAAACCATCAAGCGCTATGATGAAACTGGCTCTAATGAGGACCGCCACAGGATTACCTCTGCTGCAGAGGATAAGTTCATTAGAGTTACCAGCCTCAGAAATTGCAGCCCAAATAAATGCTTCACAGAGTTCAAGTAACAGACACATCTCAACATCAACTGTTCAGAGGAGACTGTGTGAATCAGGCCTTCATGGTCGAATTGCTGCAAAGAAACCACTACTAAAGGACACCAATAATAAGAAGAGACTTGCTTGGGCCAAGAAGCACGAGCAATGGACATTAGACCGGTGGAAATGTGTCCTTTGGTCTGTAGTCCAAATTGGAGCTTTTTGGTTCCAACCGCCGTGTCTTTGTGAGACGCAGTGTGGGTGAACGGATGATCTCCTCATGTGTATTTCCCACCGTAAAGCTTGGAGGAGGAGGTGTTATGATGTGGGGGTGCTTTGCTGGGGACACTGTCTGTGATTTATTTAGAATTGAAGGCACACTTAACCAGCATGGCTACCACAGCATTCTGCAACGATACACCATTCCATCTGGTTTGGGCTTAGTGGGACTATCATTTTTTTTTCAACAGGACAATTACCCAACACAACTCCAGGCTGTGTATGGGCTATTTTACCAAGAAGGAGAGTGATGGAGTGCTGCATCCGATGACCTGGCCTCCATATTCCCCCGACCTCAACCAAATTGAGATGGTTTGGGATGAGTCGGAACGCAGAGTGAAGGAAAAGGAGCCAACAAGTGCTCAGCATATGTGGGAACTCCTTCAAGAGTTTTGGAAAAGCATTCCAGGTGAAGCTGGTTGAGAGAATGCCAGGAGTGTGCAATGCTGTCCTCAAGGCAAAAGGTGGCTATTTGAAGAATCTCAAATATAAAATATATTTTGATTTGTTTAACACTTCTTTTGGTTACTACATGATTCCACATGTGTTATTTCATAGTTTGATGTCTTCACTATTATTCCACAATGTAGAAAATAGTAAAAATAAAACCTTTGACCGGTAGTGTATATATCGAAGTTATCGTTGCTCATTGTGTATTTATTCCTTGTGTTATTATTTTTCTATTTATTCCTCGTGTTATTATTATTTGTTCTATTTTTTTCTCTCTGCATTGTAGGGAAGGGGCCGTAATTAAGCATTTCACTGTTGTTTACGAAGCATGTGACAAATAAAGTTTTATTTGATCACCTTCTCCCATTCTTCCACTACCCTCTCAGCTCCTCAATGTCTCAATGTCTCCTCAGTATCTTTTTAGAAGGTTTAGTAATGCATTATTTGCCTGGACAAGCACCCCATTTCCAACCAGAATACCTGTATTTATACTGGTATACTGTACCTTACAATTTTCTTTGCTTCTCATATATCCCTCGTTCCCCCCTCAGTGTTCCTCTGGAGAGGCCTGTCTCAGATGAATGAGACCGAGGGCAACCTCCCAATACCACCACCTCGTCTCACTGAAGAACGATGAAGGCAAGACTGAGGAGTACAGTATCGTGGTCTCAGAGACAGAGGCAACATGAATGAGTAGCGCTGAGGGCAGGTGGGTCACGAGAGGAATCACAGACATATACTAATACATGATCACATCCAAACGTGTAACCAAGTTAAGAACATGCTGTAAGCTCACTCCACAGCTAGTTTCAAATGTTGTGGATGGAGCCATTCAATTGGTACCTTTTGGGTGGCTCAAACAGTTGGTACGTTGTCAAAGAGGTCAGTCACGTGTGTTTGCGAGCAGAGGATCACTGGTTCAACCCAGTGTTGGACAGAGACAGTGGACGAAGATGTACTGTTTTGCATTAGCACTACATGCCTGATTCAAATAATCAACACTTGATGATAAGTTGGTCATTTGAATCGGCTGTGTAGTGCTAGGGCAAAAACAAAAATGTGCATCCCTTTGGGTCCCCAGAACCAGGATTAAGAAATGCTGTTATATCTATGACTATACTTCAATTAATGTGTGTTATGTGTACCTGTTTGCTTTTTTTGCCGACCACAAGCATGTAGGTTAGATATGAGAGAGCATTGCTTCGTTTTTAAGAAGTTTCAGTGTTGCTACAGTTTGCAAACAAAGTAATTGTGACACTATGTTTTTCAGGTGATCATGGTGACTGTCTTATCATAGCGATGGGCAACTCCAGTTCTCGGAATGCAATTAGTTTAATCAGGTGTGTTAGCTGTGGCTGATGAAAAAGTGTGACACCAATCAGGCCCCCGAGGGGCTGGAGTACCACGATGAGGATGACCAGATCCAGATGAATTCAACAAAACTCGATGCAAGATCCCGCAGGATCTGATAAAGGCCTCTCCTGGAGAGTTACTGTCTTTTAGGTTTTCTCCAAACCTAATCTAGTGCACCTAATTCTAACACCTAGCTGGTTGATAAGCTACAGGAGGGTAACTCTCCAAGAGATCTGAACTTCCACCTAGTCCCCCCACCCTTTTCTCTTGTAACCTCTCTCCCTCTACTATAGCCGTCTTTTTTGATTGGACTGAGATGGATGTGAGCACAGACAGCTTGCATCTACCACATTTAACAATGTGTGATATATTCATCATTATGTCATCATCAGTGGAGGCTGCTGAGGTTTAGGATGGCTAATAATAATGGCCGGAGTGGAGCGAATGGAATGGCATCAAACACATGGAAACCATGTGTTTGATGTATTTGATACCGCTCCAGCCTTTACCCGAGCCTGTCCTCCCCAAATAAGGTGCCACCAACCTCCTGTGATCATATTTAAAATTAAGTGGATAATCTTTGTTTCATGTTCTTGTTTGTTTGTGCTAAGGAGGTCCAGTAGGTAAGATGAATAGTACCAATGACTGTATTACAATCTTGTTGGTAAGGTTGACTTGAGTCAAATATTGTTATGTTTTTTATGTTTTGGCATTGTAATACTTTCTGTGTCTCATCACCTGTGGCTTGCATTTCAATAGCTGAATTGTTTATGAATTACACAATTGTCTGAAAGTCAGGATAAATGAGGCTAAGATGCTGTAACATCAGTCTACAGCCATCTTAGTGCAGAACAACATTTCCTGGACACATACATTATATGGGGTGAAACTCAAAATAATATTGGAGATATGGGCAAACAGTAGCTAATACCGAAGATCAAGGTAAGAATAGACATAGCTATAGCGTTCTACTTCTGTTTGATAAAACTGTCGTTGTGTTATGCTATTGTATTTAATTTGTGCATTGGTTTGTTTAGCTAAATAGCTACGGTGGAGAGGTCGATTTGATGCAACAAAATGAACGTTTGTAGCCAATCTGAGCTCATGCCTGTTAGATAGTTCATCTGCCTTGAATTTAATTGTGAATATGGCTGAGATAATTTAACAAAATAACTATGTTGAGGGTCAATGTTTTCAACTTGTGCTATAGCTGGACTGCTCTGATGAGACGTGAACCCTGGGCTGTATTACATTAGTGGAAACCAAGACTGTTCTCGAACATTTCTAGCTACAACCAGGCCTGCCCTGAGAACAGTTTTGGTTTCCACTAATGCAATGCTGCAAACCCATTAGCCTGGCTAACGTTACAATGTCAACTAAGGAAACAAATACAATTTCAATAAAGGCTTGAATAACATTTTGAATATGGCTTAGATATGGCTGAGAACAAAAATATATTGAGCGTCAATGTTGTCAGGATATAATGTTAGCTAAAAACGTGTGTAGCTAGCTAGCTAGCTACTGTTGCTAAGATATGAGAGAGTGGCTAGGTTTCAGTTTTGTGTCACAGCTCGGTACCTAGAACAGATAGAAGAGAAAATAGATAGCAGAGAAAATGTTATTTTAAATTAAATCAACAACACCTTTTTCAAATATTCTAATGGAAAGAAGTGGCCATAATTAATAGTTCTCTGTGATTCGAGTGTCGCTGTTCATAACTTTGTGGAAATTCTTGGAGGTCATTTCAAAAAGTGCCTATTGGATCATACAAATAAATGAAACACACTTTTTGCAAGAAAACTAGTGAACCGATCGCGGCACCATCTGGTGGCCATTTAGGGAATGGAGCTGAGGTCCCAAATGTTGTTCAGGAATATGGACGAGGAGAAAAGAGGAGGGGAAAAACTTTAACATGCATTGGCCAGTTGACTCTCGTCACGTCTATAATAACAGACAGTTAGGAGCCTTTTCAGACCATAATGAATTGCGATAGTCTTATGACAGGATATTGTATCAGAAAAAAGATTCCGAAGGACCCCCAGGCAGGCCCAGAAAGGTTAGGAAGTCCCTCCTAAAATGTTGACAATTGAACCTTTTCGGTCACTGGTGCACTATGATACAAAATCCTGTGTCATACAGTACAATGCTTTACAAACATTTCTAACGTTGTTTTATTTCAAAATTGTATATTTGATGTGAAAGATGACATGAAAATAGGTCAAGGTCATGGTTTTCCATAGGTGGCCAAGCAATTGGCAAAAAAAAAGCCTAGATGTTTTAGTTGTCAATACAATGAGAGTGTCAGAATAAGCTGTGGGCCAATAATCAAAGGTTGTTTACAATAGCATTTAGGAAATATTAATGTAATGGAAGTCATTTTGATTATAGCCTGCACTATATCTCTATAATTATATTCTTCTTGTGCTAGCTACCGGAATAACTAATGAGGATGGGCAGATGACGACCTCTACAGCTGAGAAGAGAACATTTACATTTACATTTTAGTCATTTAGCAGACGCTCTTATCCAGAGCGACTTACAGGAGCAATTAGGGTTAAGTGCCTTGCTCAAGGGCACATTTACGTCATTTAGCAGACGCTCTTATCCAGAGCGACTCACCAATTGGTGCGTTCACCCTATAGCCAGTGGGATAACCACTTTACAATTTTTTTTGGGGGGGGGGGGGGGGGGGTAGAAGGATTACTTTATCCTATCCCAGGTATTCCTTAAAGAGGTGGGGTTTCAAATGTCTCCGGAAGGTGGTGAGTGACTACGCTGTCCTGGCGTCGTGAGGGAGCTTGTTCCACCATTGGGGTGCCAGAGCAGCGAACAGTTTTGACTGGGCTGAGCGGGAACTATGCTTCCGCAGAGGAAGGGGAGCCAGCAGGCCAGAGGTGGATGAACGCAATGCCCTCGTTTGGGTGTAGGGACTGATCAGAGCCCGAAGGTACAGAGGTGCCGTTCCCCTCACTGCTCCATAGGCAAGCACCATGGTCTTGTAGCGGATGCGAGCTTCAACTGGAAGCCAGTGGAGTGTGCGGAGGAGGGGGGTGACGTGAGAGAACTTGGGAAGGTTGAACACCAGACGGGCTGCGGCATTCTGGATGAGTTGTAGGGGTTTAATGGCACAGGCAGGGAGGCCAGCCAACAGCGAGTTGCAGTAGTCCAGACGGGAGATGACAAGTGCCTGGATTAGGACCTGTGCCGCTTCCTGTGTAAGGCAGGGTCGTACTCTCCGAATGTTGTAGAGCATGAACCTGCAGGAGCGGGTCACCGCCTTGATGTTGGCGGAGAACGACAGGGTGTTGTCCAGGGTCACGCCTAGGCTCTTCGCACTCTGGGAGGAGGACACAGCGGAGTTGTCAACCGTGATGGCGAGATCATGGAACGGGCAGTCCTTCCCCGGGAGGAAGAGCAGCTCCGTCTTGCCAGGGTTCAGCTTGAGGTGGTGATCCGTCATCCATACTGATATGTCTGCCAGACATGCAGAGATGCGATTCGCCACCTGGTTATCAGAAGGGGGAAAGGAGAAGATTAGTTGTGTATCGTCAGCGTAGCAATGATAGGAGAGGCCATGTGAGGATATGACAGAGCCAAGTGACTTGGTGTATAGGGAGAAAAGGAGAGGGCCTAGAACTGAGCCCTGGGGGACACCAGTGGTGAGAGCACGTGGTGCGGAGACAGCTTCTCGCCACGCCACTTGGTAGGAGCGACCGGTCAGGTAGGACGCAATCCAGGAGTGAGCCGCGCCGGAGATGCCCAGCTCGGAGAGGGTGGAGAGGAGGATCTGATGGTTCACAGTATCAAAGGCAGCGGACAGGTCTAGAAGGACAAGAGCAGAGGAGAGAGAGTTAGCTTTAGCAGTGCGGAGAGCCTCCGTGACACAGAGAAGAGCAGTCTCAGTTGAATGACCAGTCCTGAAACCTGACTGGTTTGGATCAAGAAGGTCATTCTGAGAGAGATAGCAAGAGAGTTGGCTAAAGACGGCACGCTCAATAGTTTTGGAAAGAAAAGAAAGAAGGGATACTGGAGGAAAAAATAAGTTGAGGAGTCGCGGGGAAAAATGTAGGCAGATGCATGCCGTGATGAACCTCACTCCAGTGTCCATGGATGGTGACAATCTTGCCGAGCACCCTGAGCAACATCTATAAGCCACAGCAAAACCAACCACCTCAGCAGCACCCACCTGAGAACCCACCACCAGGGCAGGGACAACCACTTGCTTCAACAACCACAGAGAGAAGTGATGTGGAGAAGATGTCAAGGCCATGTACTCAATTGGGTAAAGAAAACGCACAGCTGATCAGCCTTAAAATGGAACTTACAAAAAGAAAATGGGATAAAATGAGAAAGAATATGCTAAGAAGGGCTAAATGGAAAAAGAGAATTGTGAGTGAGAAACAAGCCAAGGGGTGCCAAGAAACTGGCAGCCGTGAAGAAGGCACAGGTCACTCAATTCCTGTGTAGGGATGAAAATGGCAGACATCTGCCTGGGAAAAAAGACACCATAACAAAGCACAAAGAGAAAGTTCAGAGACGAGTCCTTCACAAACCTTTTAAAGAGCTCCATTCACAGTACAACAAAGAGACAGGAAGGGAAACGTCACTCTCATACAAACCAAAAACAAGTGATCGCAACACTTGTGCATGCATTGATCATGAAAATTTCAAGCTCCTCACTGACAAACTGAACCAAATTGGATTTCTGTTTCTCAGAGCTGCTGGCCTCCATAGTGTGTGACCCTAAAAGCAAAGACTTTGTATTGTGTCTGTGCAAAATGTTGTTACAGTGAGGTAGAAATAGCTCTACCTGAAGAGAATACAATCACCACATGACAGCAATGGGAAAGAGAGAAGACCAGCAATGGAGAAAAGACGTTCAGAAACTTTGTGAAAAATACAAAAAGTGGAACATGGCAGGACCCTGATTCAGAAACTCGACCTGCTCGCCAAGCACTATTTCAACTGGCTCCATCAAGAAATCTTAAGGATAATATCAGTGACACTGAGGTAGTTGTTCACATGGACTTCTCAGAAAACTATGCTTGCAAATTGCACACTGAGGTTCAGGCTTTCCATTTTGGAGGGAGCAGAAAGCAGGCCACCATACATACTA